CTCATTATAATTATAGTAGTTATATGGCCTCTGTCTATGTAGGCAAACTGAGAAAACCATCTTCTATTAGGAAAATTAAGTTGTATTAAAACTTTCTATATCTTTTACCTTTTTCTTGTATTGAGTCTTTCCACCGTTCTCGAAAACTATTAGTAATATCTCTAAGAATTTTATTCTTCACGTCCTGTAAGTCCAGTTTAATATTCAAGGGGATGTTTAGGTCTTTTCCTATTTTAGCCAGAGTATCCACTTTTTCATTACCTTCAATACCCGAGTGCCCCGATATCCAGGCCATCGTAACATCTACTCCCATAGTTTTAATAAATGATATAAAATAATGATAATAACTTTTGTAAAGGCTTTGTAGAGCAACTCTTAGTCCCTATTTTATTGCTATCATCTCTGCTGTGGCAATACATATTTCTTTGTGAAGTTTTGCCGAAAATTTATAATTAATTTTTGGTATATAAACACCAAATCCAACCCTCTCACCCTGTTTTGAGGCATCAGTAAAAAACTAGAGAATATATGGATATATTTCTCTATTTTCCCTCGAAAATGGGCTTCCGCATTTTCTATATTTATATTTAGTTTAAGTGGATCGATCAAGGCAATAGGGTTACTGCCAGTTTTCTCCCCCTTGTATTCAGGTCCAGTTCCGATGCTTCAGCCAGCAAGACATTCGTTGGGGTTGACCTCATACATCACAGCGCTATTCTCAAACCTTCAAAATGGATCACGTTAAGCTTGTTAAGTGCAGTCTTGTTGTTGGGGTTCAAGAAAATGGAACCATAATCTAGGTGGGTCCTAATCAGAGTATGGAGTATGGAGATCTGCATCCGATGAAACTCTACTTACGCATTTTATTATATTAATTGGCTTCTTTGCTTTATCACAGCTATATTCGGCGTGCATATTCCACTTCAAATGTTTTTGTAGCACCACTCCTAAATATTTGACATAGTTCTTAAAAGTAATTTCCTTATTATCTATTTTTATATTTACCGGCGGGGATCTTCTCCTACCTTTTGTAAACCAGACGGCTTCACATTTATCAGTACACAGGGAAAGGTTGTTGTTCTCTAGACAGTTCTGTAATGTTTTTAGAGCTCTATTAAGTTTGCTTACCAGTAACTCTATGTCTTTCCCTTCGTAGAACAGGCACCAATTAGCCGCGTAACCTACTATCTTCACTTTCCTTTGAAAGAGTTTATATAATTCTAAAGTATAAAAGTTAAAAAGGACTGTACTTAAGAGGAACCCTTGTGGGAGGCCCGAAGTAGCTAATATTGGTCCAATTAGGGAGTCTTCATTATTTTTGGGGAATAAAGATCTATTGTCCAGAATTTTAAAGATAAGGTTGGATAGCTGTACCGGAATATTAGTTCGTTGAGTTTATTATATAGTTTATGGATATTAACTGTGTCATAGGTGGATTTTATATCTAGGAAAACTGCTGCTAACGATGAATTGCGGGCAAAAGCTAGATTGGTATGTGTAGTATTCAGCGCTAGGTTATGATTTATACTTACACCTCTTCGAAATCGTGTCTGAAAATGAGAGAAAGCATTTTTGCTTTCCAGTAAATGTTCCATACGGTTTTTAATCATTATCTGTAACACTTTAATATAACATGATGCCCAGGTAATAGGTCTAAAATGGTCAATGCTATGGGGGCTCTTATTGGGTTTAAGTATCGGGATGATGTTATATTTTTTCCACTCGGTAGGGATCACATCCCAATCCAGAAGGTTGTTATATATTTTCAGTAAGGCTTTTTTGGCTTCGATGGGTAGATGATTAATCATCTCATACGAGACGTCATCTAAACCCGGGGCTGAGGACTTCTTATGTTGTTGAGTTCTTCCAAGGTCTAATATGCTCCATAGGAATTTTCTGTGTGAATTCGGGTTCTATATTACAAATGGCCATTTTATTCAAAATTCGCCCTCTCAGGGAGTCATCTATGTTATGAAGTTTGCAGGAAACTTTATTCCCTTTATTATTTTTTTCCATACATACGACATATTCGATTTTCTGTTAAGATATTCGCAAAATTCATTGAATTTTGACCTCTTTTTGCTGTTTAACTGCTTTTTTGCTAATGCTATATTCCTTTTTGCATGAATATAATTCTCTAGAGTTGGGTTCAGTTTAAAATTTTTAATACATTCTTTCCTTCTGTTTATTATTTACGAGCAATCGTGGTCCCACCAAGGATTGGATATTCTTCCTGATGAAAATTTAATTCCCATGGGGATGGAGAGATCGGCCGCTTTATTTATTATATTGTTTAATTCCGCAAATCCCAGATCTTGACTATTCATGGATATACCAGCTAAAACAGTTTCATAAAATTTGTTCCAGTCAGCCCTACCAAAGTTCCGATAGGAGTGAGATATCATTTTGGGTCTTAGTTTAATAAAGTTTTCATTCCTCAACTCCACGACAATCGGGAAATGGTCACTGTTCCCGCAGTCGTTCAAAACCTCCCAATTAAGCAAGTCAGCTATATTGTTAAATACTATCGTTATGCTGACTGCCCTAACTGGCGATTGCGGTGGGTGGAAAAGAGTTGGTCAGCTGTCATTTAAAATTACATAATTATTAAAAGTAACAAAATCTGCTATCAGTTTTCCTCTCCTGTTCTACATTATCTACATTATCTGTGAGTTTTTCGAAAACTGTTGACAAAAAATGGTTTGATATATTGCTAATTGAGTTAGAATAGACATTAATTATGTTTTAATCGCTTATTTTGATTATAATGTACTGTGAATTTTCGTCATTAAAAGTTTTTACCTGATTATAGATTAAATTATTCCTAATATATGTTGCCACCCCTCCGTATGCGTCCTGTCTGTCTTGTCTCAAGATGTTGTATGACTTTAAATACAAACTAGATTCCGTCTTTAGGCATGTTTCGTTCAAACATATTATGTCTGGTTTGTGTTCTCTAACTGGCATTATTAGGTTCGATCTATTGGCTTTAACTATTCTAATATTCCATTGAATAATTTTCAGGTTGTTGAATTGGGAGGTTATTTTTCTTCTTTGGATGTCGGTATTAGAGGGCACTTTGCTACCAATACTTTAAGGACTTGTTAGGTCCCAGTCCATGTAACTATTATTACTTAAGTGGTTAAAACAAATTTTTTAATTGGATTCTGATTCTCTGTAGAGATTTTTTTAAATTTTACTAAAATAGAATTTACCAGAGACGCTTCATCGATAGGTAAGTTCTCTTTCTATCAATAGCTCTGATTCGAGGCACTATTAGTAGGCACTTCATTTGACTGAGAATAGTCATTTATAAAAGAATTCCAATCATTTTTTGTGGTCTTTGTTGTGTTCTACTTTGTCATAAGATTTTTGTACTATTCTCTTTTTATTTGGATCGGTTGAAGCTACTTATTGATATGATCTTTTGTTCCTACTTGTATTAAAGTCAGTCACCCTTCTCTGGGAAGGGATCATCGTCTCCTGCTCTGGTAAACTTCGCTTATTGCGAGAGGGTCGGACATGAATTGGAAAATTTCTGGATTCCTAAAGGTCTTCATCCTATTGGATATACGTTTTTGGACACATTTTTTCTGCATTATAGTAAGTCAAATTTTCAAAGGCCATCAACTTCTTAATATTTTGCTGCCTTACATATTCGGGATATGTCTTACTAGTTGTCTTGTGATTACCCCTACAAAAATGACATTTAGTGGGACACGAATGGGAATCATCATCATCATCTTTGTCATGTTTCTTATCCCCACAGTTGAAACATTTCTCTTTTCCTTTGCAGTTTTTTTTGTATGTCCGTAGAGCAGACATGAGTAACATTGTGTCGCTGGAGGGATGTAGACTAGCAACGGATAGGGTAGGCCATACAGACTGTTTGAATTCTATGGCAATAGCAATTATCTAGCTCGGCGTTGCCAATTATATTCGGATTTCAGAGACTGATTTTGTGTTCTTATCAAAGTTTGACAATTTGTTCAGAAAAATTACGGCAATGTGGCAACGGAGCTATTTAAGTGTTGGTAAAAAGTTGTGCGCCGCAGGTGGCTATGATATTCTCGTAGAGAAGGTGTGGATCTTTTGCGCATGCATCACCCTCAAATAATTGAGTTGCCACATTGCCGTAATTTTTCTGAAAAAATTGACTAATTTTGATATACACATTCATTTACATTTTTACATTGTCGAACTATATCTTCTGTGAACTTCAAAACGAGTTAATAAAACACTTTATAAAATGCCATTATAATTAAAGATAAGTTGTAAAAAGTAGTTGTAGTAAGTTGTGGCATAAACCACAATCTTGTCTACAAAACAGGACTATAGTGTGCATCTAGAAAAAAATATTTCTTAATAAGACAATTTTCCTTATGTTTCATATATGTTTACACTTTTAAAAAATTTCGAGCATTTCTGGAAAAGTAATTTTTGGTTGTCCACATTTGAACCCAGATGGCAATAAAATATAGGTAAATTATTGTGTGAATTGATACTAGTATTTAAAGTCCGGTGGACACAATGCAATTTCTACATGTACTTTTAGCATTTACCAATTGTTGTTAAATATTTTTGACTGGGAATTTTTTCCAGTAGCCACCATGCAATTTTTGCTAGCAAAATGGAAACAGCAGGCTTAAAATGAAAGTTTCCGTTGCAGTCCGAACTCTAAGCCAAACAGTTGGTGCTACCATTGAAGAAATGGTTGACAATCCCCAAAACAATTTGCGATCTGATGCAATCCATACAGGGAGTTTGTCCATGATATTGACATCCATTTTAATAGTTTTAATGATAGCAAACCAAAACAAGACCTTGGTAAAGCTTATCGTACTTGTATATCCAAAAAAATCCCCTCATAAACTATTATCAAAAATTTAAAGTTGGGAGTTTATTTCTGGAAAAGGAGTTAAAACAAATATACCATTTAAATCTCGATGGCTTTCAACTATAAACGCCACTAAGCAGTTATAGGAAGAGTGCGAGAATGGTTGGGATTTAGGTTTTTAAGGACAAGATCTTTAAACCAAGATTGTTTGGAAAATTCAATTGCGTCGATACGCCATTTTGGTGCAGAAAACACATAGGGTGTGCTGCTAACTTAATTAGGGATCCTCAGCACACATTTCGATCTAATTCAAAGTGAGATCTATATATATCTTTAATGATAAGAAAATATTATTATAATCTACATGGACATTTTTAACACAAATCACCAAAAACAGTTGTTATACAGAAAATTCAAATTGCAAACACTTCGTCAAAGTTTCCATCGTGCTACCTAGATTCGCTGTTCTAACCGCAAGTAATCCTCCGATAACCGGATCCAACTAAACTTTTTTTTTGTAAGGAAGAAAAAAAGAGATAACGCGATAAAACCGTGATATAAGTTATAGGGTGAAACAAAATTTAATTATTCGCTAATATGTTTAATCGAAATATGCAGAATTCGTATCACTATTAAAAAAAGTTTTGATATTAGTTGCTAATGCTTGATACCTTTTTTCATATAGCTAGTATATATATAGCTGAAAATACGGAAAATACGGGATGAAAAAATATTAAGAGTTTAACTTGGTAGAATGCTATACAAAGTGAACGCTAGTTGCACCTTTTATTTCAAGATACGATTGACCAAAAACTTTTAAACTTTGTAGATCAAGGCTCTGAATTTTTACTTTTGGAGCGTAAATTTTGAATTATGTAACATTATTCCCAAGACAGCACACCTTCGCCATTTTTAACTATTCATAAACCATGATCTCATAACGGAATACAAGTATCGCAGTTAACAATCGATTGATTGATTTATCTCAAACAGGATGTCCAAAATTTGATAATAAAATGTTTTATTTTCACAGGTTTTTTTTACCATTTTAAAATAGGCACTCCGTATATTATTTGTGGTCGGATGCAGAACAATATTCATTGGCCATGTTTCAACGATTTTGATTAACAATAAACTTTTATGGAGATGCAAAATCCCCCAGTAAGTGAGCTATCAAGCTAATCAACGTGTAGGAAAACTTTATTTGTTTAAATTAATAAACTAAAAAACTGTAGACACTTATTTCAGTTATATAAAGAGAAAACTGAAAGTCTTGTGTTGCAATTTTTAGCGCGTGAATGACAAATCTTAATGGGAGGTTACAAACTCAAGGCGGCTTCACGAAACGTGCAGTATAGCGTTGCGTTACAGCTTCTAACTGGCACTTATGTTTGACAACTGGGTGTCTTGAACTTGTCATTTGAGATTAGTCGGGGTCTTACTCTTCAGCAAGCTTGAGTGGTTGGGTCGATTTGGATGGCTTGACCTCTCTTCGTATCGTTGAGCTTGAACGGGAGTTTGCAATAGTCCAACAGGTCTAAGATCTTTGGCATTTGATGCATTTAGAGACGTGGTCGGCGCACCTTTGAAAGGTACATTCTACACCAAAGAGCCATGCAAGGTTGAAGTCGTGATACTTGCTTAGTATATCTGTGATTTTTGACTTTGACACTACTTGTTGTACTTCTTCTTGATCTCGAACAGGATTCCGTTGTTCATGGTATAACTTCTTTCGGTAATCTAAATCTTTTTTATCCTCTTCGAAACATGCACTGATCTTTGATAAAACATTAGGAACCGTTTCAAGAAGTTGGATCTGGGTTTTTCAACATTAAAATAGCGTAAACCGCAGACAGCAAAGTTACTAGGAAATCATCTGACATACATACATACATACATAGGACCGGCGCACTATTGGGCCTTTTTTACCGTAGATTCCACCATTTATCTAAAGAACAAATTTGAATTTGTTATTTAGGAAATAGCACCTCTCGGGAGGGTTTGGACTACTCACCCTAAAGCAAAGGAAAGTTGTGAGCAATATATAAATAATATATATAAATAGGTTAACAGAAGTTATGGAATATGACTTAAATTTAAATTTAAACTAACCAAATATTTGTTTCGATTCGTATGTCATACGGTTGAAGAGCTAGTGCCCATTTTGCGAGTTGTCCGGTTAGTGACTTGAGGCACGTTAGCCATGATTACCACTTTTTAAAGCTAAGACAAATTCAAATCTTTTTTGTTTGATTTTCTTATGTAATTCCATGCCATAAGCTAGATTAATAAGTAAACTATTAATTAAAGTTCGTACTTTTTTTTTCAAATTTCGACTGTCCGTTTTCCTAATACTGTAACTCATTGCCCTTGCTTTGGGACACTCGGTAGAATACGATAGCCGTTATATTTGAACAAATACGAGATAAACAATACGTGCAAAAATAGGATGCCCGAAAATAGTAACACAAAGAAAATTCCGCAGCATTTGTCGCATATGCATCCTTATCGCGAGTTATTTACAAGAGAGATAGACGACTTTTAATTGAACGTAGGTATTTTATGTGAAACCTACGCAGATGTTCGAGCGGCGCGCATGACAGATGACTTTGTCAATCGGCAGTTTTTCCTACTTTTTAATAACCCGGACAATTAACCGTTTAAAAAGATCCAAGCCTTTAAGATCTCGCATTTTCAGTTTATTTTTGGTGTACCTCGGTATATAAACGGTCCGATTCAGTATCAAACGGCAAAGTCGGGACCATCCGGTCTGTTTTTCCAGGTGAATAACTTATTTGCGCGAAAATGTTCCGCTATTAATGATCTATTTATACTTGCACATTGTTTACTCTTCGGTATAATTTCAGCTTTTTCGTCGTCCAAACTGGTATCCGAGTCAAGGATTTAACTGTCTTTGAACTTTGCTTTGAATGCAGATTGTTCCGAAAGCGAGCACACGAGTCGGTCTACAAGTTTGAAATAACAAACGCGAAGCTCCTAAAGTGGCACTAGGCCGCAGGAATTATTGTTATCTCTGACGAAACCTTGCTAATCTGGGTGAAGTTTTAACGGGTTATCGCAGATGGACGGAAAAGAAGATTTGAAAATAGGGGTGCACAGTCAACATACGAGAATTTTGAAAGAGGTAAGTGGGGAAAACTCACGTAATTATATTTTTTTAACAGTCTAAAAAATGATGAAACAAAATCTTATCAAACTAAAAATTACAATTTTATTAAAAAAATACTAAATAAAAATATAAATACAGAAACAGATTAAAAAAAAATAATTATAAAAAACAAATGACAAATTATTATTAATTAATTATACAAAATTACACAAACCTAATACACCACTTTCCTTGCAATCAATATCCTTTTTTTTAATTATCTAAGTACCTATCCAACTGTCTTTCTAATATTGTCAAAAAAAATTATATAGGGTGTTTTCTTATTGAATGTCAATAATTAAGGGGACTATTTTTGGATCTATTTTAAAAATAAAACTTCACATGAACATATGTCCTAAACATCTTAGCTTTTGACATACAGGGTGTTAAAGTTTTCAAAAATAAAATATATAATTTTAATATCTGTAATACCACTTTAGATATTATAATCAAATTTGACACACCTGTACCATGTATCAAGAGGCATTATATAGTGTACCACAATATTTAAATTACACCAGTGGCGGGCGTACGGAATTTTACCTGTCTATTTCGGCCGACATTGATGGTACGCCACTGATTTCTCTCAAAATGAACATCATTCTTACAATCACCAATCATTTCTAATTTCTTGATTTTTTTTCAATCTGATGTACGATTTTCGCTTAAAAAAATAAAAACCTCCTGTCTACATGGTCATAACAATATCGTTAATATTGATTCATAATACATGTGTGCCAAATTTCATTAAAATATCTAAAGTGGTATTACATTCAAAAATATATTTAATTTTCAAAAACTTTACCACTCTGTATCTCAATATTTAAGAAGTTTATGACATATGTTCATAAAATATTTTCTTTTTGAAAAGGACCCAAAAATCGACCCCTTCATTATTGACATTCAATTAGAAAACGCTCTGTATAGTTGTGTCACTGGACGTAATTTTATATACCAATATTCCAAATGAAATTATAACTACAGTTCAAAAAAGATCAAATTTCTCTTTTATTAATATATTTTATACAAGCGGTTAATCGAACATTAAATAATTGTTTTCAATATCGAGAAAACATTTACCAATAATTAATTGGATGACTGACCAATTTCACCAACAGTGGGACAACTTGTGCCGGAATATTTAGAAGAAAATGAATATATTTTTTTAAATTATTGATGATTGTTATGACAGCTATACGAAAAAATCAATGTGCTATTGAATTTGAAAAAGATAAAAAATGGATATATATAAGATATATAAATAATAACTGAGCAATCAGAAAAATGCCCTTATTGGTGGTTTAACAAACCAAATTTTATAAAAAATCAAATAGGTTTTTTTTTTCCTTTTTTTCCTCAAAGAAACTTCCACAGGCTATTATAATTCTACTTACAAATCTTCTGCATTTTTCCTGCGTCGGTTATTGATAAATCGAACTTGCTGATGTTTCACCAATCATTCTGTTGGCTTCTTCAGAGCTTAACTGTTTCTGGTTGTTTAGGGATTTCTATGGATTCGCAGATTTTTCTTTGGTAGAAGAATTGATTACATTTAATAATTTTAGTTTGGTCTAGTCTTATTACTCTTTAATTTTCTTTGAGCCTAGTTAAATGTTTCGTCCGGTATCTGCATTGTATTCTTTGCCGCATATGCATGGAACGTAAACTATATTTTGCCTTTGACGCATCAAAGATGTTGAGAGATTTTTGGACATGTGGTTAACCTGTTTTTAGCATTATATTTCTAAAGAACTTTTTATATGCGGTCAGTGATGTTTTGAATGTAAGAAAAGACTACACTGGCAAGCGTGGGGTTTCTTTCGAACTGATTTTCTTTTAAAGGTTGTGGTGCAGTTTATTTTATAACTCTTAATAAGTCTAATGTGGAAACGATTTGAGAGAATAGCAAATATTAAATTCAATTATTAATTAATTATTTATTACTAATAACATAATACATTTATTTTATTAATAATATGATTATATTATACATAGAATAATAAAATATTAAATAAATGAATTTAAAAAAATAATAACAAATAATAAAATACGCCACATCAGTCTGGTGTATTTTAGGTTGACTCTTCTCCCTATATTTCACTTTCTGGTTTATTTCTCCTCTTGTCTACTCGATCTGTGGACATACTGTATATAATGTTCCATGTAACCGACTTCCAACCAAATAGTAGGCTTTTTTTCGAGTGTAAATTTAAATAACTCTTAAAACGAATTCATCATCCATTGAGAAATTGTGGGCTTTGGTGAAATCTAATTTTGGGGATACCCTGTATATATTATTCTCCAATCCGACGAATCCGTGAATCCCGAGCCCGAACTTAAATAATGACCATCTTGTCGCGCGTTTCATTTTAATGTCATGTTACTTTCTTGTTTTACATTTAGAAACGTCGAAAACATTTATAATATTATTTGCATCCTCCAATGTCGCCAACAAGGCCGGTACGAGCTACTGACTAATCGCAAAAGAATTGAAAATTACTTACCATTTTCGACCTAATGTTAAATTTTGATTTTGTTACCAATATGATTTACAACATTAAAATCTTTCGCGTCTTTATGGTTAATAAACGGTAACTTTATCTTTGTCATCAAATCGAAAGTAATTCCTTCAATCTGCTTGAGATGATTCTTCTGGATGAAATGAAGATCTTTGGACAATATCATTGCATACCATCGTTAGCCAGAGCCACCAAAAACATTTTAAAATCAAGTTTCTTTCTAGATGAGGTTATAGTTTCAAAAGTATCCTAAAATTGGTGATAGTTGGTTAAATAGTAGTTCCGACGATATCAAATGACATCTCGTTATTGTTATTAACTTCAAAGTTAACTTTGAAAATAACGAAATTGACATTTAAAGTAACTGACCAAAAACTCTTTATTTAGGCGATGTATGCATTATTTTATACTTTATTTAAAGCAGTCGCAGATGATAGGAGGATGTTCGTCCTTATTAACCGATAGTGTTTAATGTCTAAGCGCTCTTGCTGTTACTAAAAAGTAGTAAATATTTTGTTGTCATTTAACTATTCTATAACTGTCAATTAATTAAATTCGTTTATTTTACTAGTCTTTTGGTTTGCATTGATGTCTGATTTGGTTAATTAATCTTTGAATGTAAATATCAACAAAACAATGCAACAGCTTGCCCAACAATCAAAATATTAGAATTTCTGAATACCGTGTATAGTGCGTTCACAGATAAATAGTTTCGACCTAATGATAATAAAAAGGGGTCCTACCTCCAGGTGTAAAAACGATTTTATGAGAAGTAGGTAAAAATATGTCTTTATATTGTGGATATTGTATTTTTAAACATCTAGTATTAATTTCTCATAAAAAAAGACCAGTACTAACGCATTCTTCTTTTGTCAAATATTCATTTTATATACTTTGTGATGCATATTTCGGTAACACGCTATATCTAAGATGCAGTAAGGTGTACGTAAATAATTCCACGATTACGAAACAACGCGTCCCAACGTGTAGGGACCGGCTGCGATGGACAGTACTGTCGTCTATTTTCATGGGTTTTCATAAAATCAGGGTGGGATTATGGCCCTGCAGTGCATCGAAAGTCATCGGAAAAATTTTTTACATTTGGTGATAAAACAAACAAAAACTACAAAAACATTTAAAATTAGTGATAGTGATGATATACATGAAAGTGAACTATATATCTGAGGAGGAACAGGGCGAAAGTGTTCCAAATAGATTCAGAGAAGACTCGTCAGTTGTTATAAAGGAAGACTACATGGTCCGCGCGCGAGTGGTTTAATTTCCACGAAAGGTCGATTATGCAACAACTCTTGAAGAACTAGTGACCCGAAAAAAACGCGTCGATGAAACGATGATGCGTTATTATCACACGAAACTTTCATTGACGCAACTGTGTAGGGTGGATGACGAGGCTACCATTTCGTTTACAATTAAAGTTTTACCGTTGGAATTACAGCCAAATGCTCGCACTTTGAAATGTAATTCGTCGGATGAACTCTATTCGTCGCTGAATTCTTGTCCAGGAATTCCGGCGAAACGCGCCAAGATAGAGTATGTTACGCAACCAAGGTCTTCTAATTACAACCTCAAATGTTATTCTTGTGGAAAAATGGGACATATTGCCAGCCAATGTCGTAAAAAGCAGGTTTTGCTTTGCTATTCTTGCCATAAACCGGGACATAAGAGAGATGACTGACAAAAGGACAATTATGATTAACAATAAAGTAAACGCGAAGTTCGTGAAAGGCAAATTAAACTAATTGACAGTTCCAATGTTAACAATGTCTATAAAAAAGAGTGCTTTATCAATGGGAAATCCGCAAAGGGGTACGTGGATACTGGTAGTTGGGTGAATATCGTATTCGTAGGATTTTGTAAAAAAAAAAACACTTTATCAGTGACCCAAAAAGGAAACGTGTTAAAAGGTTTTGACGGCAATAAAGTCACAAATAATTTGCAAAGTGCTTTTACCTTAGGAATTGATGGATTACACTTGAATGTCAACGACGTAGTCACCAACGCGGACATAGATAATATTGACTTGATAGTGGGGTGGGCCGTAATAAATCGTGACGAAGTAACTTTTACTGTGACTGAATATGGGTCACAATTGACTCACCAGATTAAAAATTCACATAAAGAGATAAACGTTGTCGAAAATACTGTATGTCCTACAATGGTGTTAAAAAATTTCGGGTGTGGCAAATGTGAACATCATCGCCGCCGATAATTCGGCTGAACACCAAACGATACCAACTTGGTCAAGCTCTCATTTGCATACCTGGTGGAGTGTTCCGAGTCCAATGAAGTTCCATTCTGTTGCTCAACTTAGGGGAAGATGCTGTCAGACTTCCTATGGGATATATCGTGGGTCGCTGTGAGAAATATGACGAGGTTGTGGAAGCATTAAGTAACAAAGTGGTCTGGTTGTTTCGCTGGTACGAGTAGTGACTTAGGCACTGTTCGTTTTGGAGAGATGAAAATTTCTTTGCTTGAACATTACAACCAGGTGTGTTATAGGTCATATAAATTGCCATTTAGGGAGAGAGAGATTGCGAGGGGTTGAATCCAGGTGTGATAAGAGAGTCTGAATTGGAGTTCGCGAGTCTCGTGGTGCTGGTAAAGAAAAATAACGGAGACTATAGGCTCTGCGTTGACTATCGAGCTCTGAATAAAATCATGGTTAAGGAGACATTTTATCGGAACTCTTGGATGTGGGTTGAATGCTTTCGGTATTTCCCCTAGCCTTAGAAAGATAGATGCTGTTGAGAAGTTCAAGAGGCCTAAAAATGTTGGCGATTTTTGAGACTCGCTTGATATTTCCGGAAGTTTATTCGAAATTTTGCCACTGTCGTTTTGACTTTGACGATGTTGACTCGGAAAAATATACCTTCTATTTCAGCAAATGACCAAAAAAAACCTCTTAGGCAATTAAAGCGGTATTAGTTGCTAAACTGATTTTGGTATCTTTTGACCAAAGAAAGAAATCAGGTTCACACGGATGCGAGTTCTTTGGGTATCGGAAGTATTTTATTGCAAGTGCAGGAGGACGGAAGTTTGAGACCGGTTGCTTATTTTAGCTGGCATGACCAGCTAAGAAGGTCTATCGCAGCTATGAACTTGAAATTTTGGCAGTCATTGAATCACTGAAACGTTCCCGGATTTATCTCTTGGGTTTTGAATTTAAAATAGTTACTGCTTATCTTGCTTTTAGGTACATTTTTTCAAAACGGGATTTGATCCCAAAGGTAGCTCGTTGGTTACTACAGGTTCATGAGTATAACTTCGAAATAATTCATAAACCTAGAACGTCCATGCAACATGTCGATGCTTTAAGTAGGAATGCTCGCGGGCCTCATACCGTTAGTAGTAGGAAGTGTGAGCAGTGAAGACTGGTTCCATAGAGTCCATATGCAACTGCAACGGCACCATATTATCAGGCAGCTGGTACAAGCGGGATTGGAGAGTAGTCAGATGAATCGGACGGTTCTTTGGGCAACATTATTGATAATGACGACCTGATAGATTTACTGGAAAGTTAAAATATGTAGATGAGTGTGTATGTGTATTATTTAAATAATGTGGTGAGTGAAAGAATCCGGTACAGGACGGTTTTATAATGACCTGTGGTGAGTTAAAGAATCCAGTACAGGACGAATTTATAATGACATATTTATAATGTCATGTGGTGAGTTAAATAATCCGGTACAGGACGGCTTTATAATGACCTCTGCTGAACGAACCCTCAGCCTCAGTAATGATTTGTGAAGGGTTAGTCGGTACAGGACGGCTGAAAATGATCTGTGTTGTTGTGGTAATTATATTGACAGAATTTGGAGCTATGTAGTGAAAAGCAGAGACTTTGATGCATCAGGCTGTTTGTTGGTTTTTTAGATTGTTGCAGGATAGTGTTCCACGCGAAGACGCCTGTTTTTTTTAGTCCACAACTGTCGTCTTAGTACCGTTACGTTACTTTTTTGAAGATTATGACACAGTGATGATTTATTATGAAAAAAGTTATACTACATTTACTTCTTCAAAGAAACTTTCACAGACCACTATTTACAACTCATCTGGATTCGTCCATCATACTGTTGGCTCCTTCACTTATTTTGAACATGAAATCACAATAGTTGCTTCTTAAAAAATTAAGTTAAGGTGACTTTACTTTTGTATAGATCCCGAAGTGGCATAAGATCTCCGTATAATTTTCGAAATCTGATTACTGAACCTAAGCTTATCATCAAAAACAATACTAATATTTTCGTATTCCTTAACAACGGCTATTCGGGATCGCGAATGCGATTGCATTCTATTTTTTCACATAACTTTCTTGTTCGTACCGTTCCGTTACTTTTTTCGAAGGTTATGTTGTCTTCTTCAGAGCTTAACTGAAACTTTTTGGCGTCCTACTCTGTACCTCCTTATAACTATTTGAGGAAGAAGGTGGATTCTCGAACTTTTCTGTGGTAGAAGAATTGACACATGCAATAATTTTAGTTTGGTCGAATAATATTTGATGTCCGGTTTTCATGATCATGTTCGGCAACTCTTGATGAATTTATTTGTCGTAATCTTAAGACTCTTTCATTTTCTTTTAGGCTAGTTGATATTTATCGTCCTGTCTGGTTTTAACGTTATATTTCTTAAGAACTTTATATATGTATTGAATGCGGAAGTTATTTGAGGGAAGAGCAGATGTTACTTGTTATTTATAAAGAGTTGATAACCGTTGACTTCTGAGCCGGGTGGTGATGTGATATAATGCGAATAAGAATATCTAAGAATGGGAGAGTATTATTAGTTTTTAATTCAATGATACAAGCGTATGTTAGGGTGTAAAGAGTTTAAATGGTTAAAAAATTCGCGAAGGAATTTTCGATTATCAAGCCAAATAACAACTATCAACGTAGCGTTTTCTACTCAAAAGCTTTCATAAATATATTTGTGAGATTGAAGATCGTTGTTATGTTTTTGGAAATTTGTAACTGTACTGGGGAAATATTCCGTTGCAGGAAGACGAGGTGTGGATCTCTAGCGAAGACCTGAATACCGAGAACAGCAGCGAAGACGACGGCTCCGCCAAACCGTTCAACCCTAAGAGGAAGGTGAAACAGAAAAACCGCAAACGGTCCACGCCGAGCGTACAATTTCAAAAGGTTCCCGATTATCGAGCTGTTATTTTTCCGGATTTTTTGAAAAAACCGGAGGTCGACAAGACGCGTCCCATCACTCCGGATTCGGAAGACTCCGACGTCGCGCTGCCTCCCATTTCTTCCTGCACGTCGGCCGCCAAATTGAAGGACGTGGAGGACTGGAGACCAATGAGAGGGGCTTTGTCGTCGAAGCAAGACGATTCCGGTACGTCTATACAAGTATAGATCGTTAAATTAATAACTAAAAATGTGTAAAAAAAGAATATGTGATATTGTATTGTTTATTGGTATAATAAGGTGAATTATAAATATCTCAGAATTTTTTAGAAACAAATCAGAATCCCTGAAAAAGAGGTCACAATTTTGGAATTCATTCAGAATTTCTGAAAAACAAGTCCGAATTTCCGATTTCCGAACTCGGAAAATTAGACATTCTGACGTATCCTATTTTTTATTTTTGGTGGCCTTTCGCGCTTTCGTAATATTGTATTGCGCGTCCTGCAATTTACGACACATGCCATTTTTTTATTCTTAAAAATTGAAATCTAATTTGCAAATTGTATATTGAATATATTTTGGCGATACTGAAGAGGCAATTCTTCCAAGTTGTATAAGAATATCTGTTACATTATATAATTCCATAATTTGACATGGCTCACCAAAAATTCACTTTTGAAGAAGCCACGGCCCTGTTTGCACTAAGGATTTGGAAAACTTACGCAGCAATAAAAGTTTTCGTCCTTTCGGCAATTTTGGATTATAAATATTTTCTGTTCGAAAGTCAATATTTTTCTTATTTTGAAAAATACGTCAAAATTATGAAAGGTGCAATCAAATAAAGTACGTAATAAAGAAAATTAGGAATTATTTTGATTTGAAATAAAAAATTTTAATTTGCGAATTTTTGCTGCAAAATCTGTAATATTTTGAAATTTAAAGAAATTGTATTTAACATTTTGTGTTTAAGCTGTAAAAAAGACCACTTTACTTTTTGGCAAATTTTACAATTTTGTATTTTTTTCGTATCCACAAAAAAAACAAACGTCAGGCCTTGCCAACCTTATTTTATTTATTTTTTTTGTAAAGAACGACTTTTTTGTCTACTCCATTCGTGGACATTCTGTATATTAATAAGGTTGTTAAGTATCTCATATTTTTCTAGACAACCCGAGTAGTTAATACAGTGCGACTAGATGGTGAAATGTTAAAAAATAAACGGAAAAAATAACTGAGGATTGATATTGTGATTGTTTCCGTGTCGTTGTTGCATTTGCACATTTATTACTCTTACTTATTTACTTAATTAAAAATGTGACTGTATAATGGCAATTTCCTGATTCCTTTGTTTGTATTCGTTTGACGCCGTAATTGCATGTAGATTATCATAACAAATCAATTATTGCGGCTAATTTATGTTTGTCTGTTTCCGCGTAAAAAAAACGCTGTTTATTAAACACGGTTTATTAGAAGTATCTAGAGAGCTGGGAGAGATGTAGTCAAATATTCGGTTGCGGTAGCCTAGTTGTCGCTTTGCCAGATCTACGGAAACGGACGGTCCTATAAACGCAAAGTAATAAAAATGAGAAATTTAATTTTGAAATGAGAAAGTAGCTAACACAAGCAAAATTCGTAAATTGTCACTATTACATTTCTGTAAAGAAAATTGATAGATAATTTATAGAAACAGTGCATGTCAAAGAAATTATTTTATTGGGTGTTGAAAATGCCTACCACTTGACAATATGCTAATTGGTTTAATAAGCCTTTCAAAACATTACTCAGGATATAGCTATATGGATCTAATTCTAAAGTTTAAATCATCTTAATTTTGTGGTGTTGAGATCCCGCAGACCATTCTATTGATCCTGTTCTTCCAATCCACTGTGGAGGATGGAGCGGAGCACCAAATCTATCTATCTGGCATATCAGGTTGATTTGGAATTGGAATTGCAGCAGAAACTGTATCCGTTAAGATTTTGGTAGAAGAAATGTATGCAAAATTTAGCTTAGATAGCCTTTTTTTACTGTATTTGTACTGTAATCTATTCCTTAAAGAGGAATAAAGTTAGATGTATGCGCAGAGTAAATAATCTATAGGGCATTCCATTAAAAATTCCAAAATAGTTATAATTTTAAGGTAGATCTGGGACCCTGCGACATTGAAGTTTTTCAAATGTAGACCTCATACTGACGGCAATCAGAATTCGATTTGGTACATTGAAATGATTCGACAAGCTTTACCAATAACTTCGATACTGAGGAATTGCCCAAATGTTTAACGTGGAGTGTCTAAACAGAAAATTTTGCATAATCATTTGAAAAGTTGCAAAAACAAACGTTAACTCTTTGTTTATTTATTGTATATATGCGTCTTGTAAGTAAGTGTAAATTTTATAACACGAACCAGATGATGCATTTTCGAATTTAGCAATCAGAGTAGTTAGTAACGTTAAGAGATATAATTTAGTCAGGTCTGTATATAAAATAATTTCTTAATTAAAAATAAATCTAGAATACTAATGGGGTTTCTTTTTGCCTTTCCCTTATGTTATTCATCCAATAAAAATAACTAAAAGTTTACCTTCCAGCGATTGATAATGTCCATTTTAATGTGTAAATTTTAATTTTATACAGGGTGATGCATTAATAATTGAAAAATATAAAGTGTAGGAATCCTGAGCTCAGGGCAATTATTTAGAAATTATTCACACCCACTACTTTAAAACTGTGACGCATCCTGTGACGTCAGATTTGGCGAAGAGTGAGTAATGTATAGTGTTTTCGCAGATAAATGGTTTAACCTCATTATGTTTAGAGGTAGACATTTATCGGTGTTTATTAGTGCTGGAGTTGTATTTATCTTCTTTAACACTTATTGGTTCGTAATCCTATGGGGCCATAATATCTTCAAGATCCAGCTGTACGACCATAGTTCAAAAGCTTGGAGTTTTGCTTTCTTCTGTCAGGGTTAAGGAGTCTTATATTTGTATTCAGTTTAAGGTAAGCTATGACCGAAGCCATCTTCAAGGAGGCACCTGACTGCTAACCAACTACTAACCTTTCCAATTCTACACCGAATCTCCAAAGAATTATTCCACGACTTCTCAGATAAAGTTGTTGTGAGACTCACTCGATTCCCGTCTGACGCATGTCTAAATTTGCTTCTCTGATGTTTTCTTCGCTAATGATCATTTAGTTTCACAAACTTCAATGTCAATTCCATAGGTTTTTGTTGTTTCTGTAACTTTATTGATAAAGTTTTCTGGGCTTTCTACTGAGTGGGAAAGCACTATTGTATCATCCGCATAAAGCAGGTTGTTAAGCGTGACTTCATTTAAGGAGATACCTTTCTGTATGTCTGTTAGTGCCTAACGAGAAATGTGCTTCTAGTACAGATTACAAACCATGGCAGAGATCACGAAACCGTGCAGACTTTCCACCTGATCTGAGAATTATTGCTATTATTCTCAGGTATTATAGATATACATCTATCGTTTGTTCATGTCTAACACTATTAAAGGCTTTTGGATAATCAATTAAATATACAAAAACCTTGCAGTCGCTTCTGCATTTTTGTACTAAAATTTGCTGAATGCTCTTAATGTTCTATAAACTCACTTGTTTTTATAACTTCTTTATTTGCTGCCATGTAGTTTGTGAAACCAAATCTCATCGAGGTAAATTATTCAACGATTTTCAGAATGGTATTTTCTTATATACTCATGCCACCATTTCTGTAATCGTTAGGATTCCATAACTGCTTCCCCCTTACCTATTTTGTGATAGTTCAAGTCCATTGTGGATAACACTTTTCAAAGGCTACGGAGTTCCTTTAGACTTTCTAGTATAGGTATCACTAAACGAACCAAAACATTCATTAGAAGCTAAATCTTTGCGCTCTCTTATTGTTTTAATGGTATTTTGACATTAATAATTTTCGCAGAAGTCAAGGAATTCTTAGCGAAATATATTATATATAGCAATAGCATATTATATATTAGCAATTATTTGATTTCAGAATTTTTCTTAATTATTATTAATTATTATTAATTAATAATTATTAATTACGATAAGATTTTATATAGTGAAATTCTGGTATATTTGTTCTGTCAGAAAAAAGGCGTTGTAATGAGTCTTCGCAATATTCAAGGACAGATGATGTTCATTCAACAAGTTTTTACAATTTCCTTGGCTTTTTTTTTAATGATACGTAACGATGTTTCTAAAATCAATATTAGACAAAACAACAACGCAGTAATACTGCTCACTTCCAATAACACTAGACTATGCTAAATGAAAGTTTCTGGCTACTACCAGAGGCGTATGTAAGATTGACGCTGTCCAAACTTTACGCCACTGACGGACCTGCCGTTTTAGTACAATTCTTTAAATAATCTTCAATTTCATTGTAATGATAAAATTATTATTTTATGATGAGACTATTCTCTGTATTAACAAAAAACACAACAATTGAGTCTCTCAGAAAGAACCATTAGAATCTAAGTAAAACAAAAATTTACCGTCATATCCGAATATTTTAAAAGCAGGAATCTAATGGGGGCACATGCAGGCAAGTCCGCGCGCAAGTGTGTGCAGGTAAGTCCGCGAGCAAGTGCGAAACAAATTGCGGCCACACACTATTCAGGTAAACCTCGAGGTTCACCAGTTGGTGGGGCCTGCTGCTGTGCGAAAAATGAAGTTGGCCTTCGCACTTGCTCTAAAAATCAGACACAATCTGATTCGTTTCGAGCCGCGCTTGGAACTGAACGCGCCTTGAGTTTTGACCCATACACATTCGCACTTACTCGCGTGTCTCGACCTGTACAGGCAAGTCTTAACACTTGCCTGCACGTGTATAGGCCGCTTAACGTTAATATGGCGGGTTTCCTTATAGAGTTTCGCTTCAACCAAGAGCATTTATGTGCGCCACGAAAAACGTCTAAACTTGCGGATGGGGCGGCGAACGGTCTCGAAATCTTCAGGACCCGAAAAAATTCTTCCAAAATTAAAAAAACGTTGAACTTTATTGCGAACTTGGAAAGCAAAATAAACGAAGCAATAGCGACATATCAGGTCTGTTCCGTTATATATTTGTTTATTGTTTAACGTTGACGTTTCTTCATTTAAACGCGAAGTTGTTTTCAAAACGGGTATAATAAAAGGGTATAATAAAAGAACTTATAACAAATAAATAAATCTTTTTAAAAACATGAAAATCAAAATTAAGTTACTACAACCAAAAAATGAAAAATAATTCCTTACAGGGTAATAGGCCAAAAAGTGATTGAATATGAGGTATGGCGAATATAAATATGAATTGTTGGAAAAAAATTATAAAAAATGAGTCATTTTATTTAACTATACAATAACCTTACTCTCAATTTACCTTTGACAATATCTATCCATCCCATATCTGCTCGATTTGTTTAATTTTGCAACGACCGAGTTGCCCTACAGGCACAGAATAAAGGATCATCTTGATTTGTCATTAGTCTTTCTATGGCTTGGCCCAGAATTCTGTTAACAATAAATGACAGAATTCATCAATTTTATAATAAAAAATGCATAAGCTTTCATTTCCGCATTAATATTAGCTGTTTAATGAAGCTAGCTATTTAGGTTGAGCGAACAGAACGGATTTCAATGGAACATGAAATGTGTAGAGAAATTTGCTCGAATAAAACAATGCTCGGAGGTGACACATCCAGATTTCTCAATTTGTGCCACGAGAATCAATCAATGGACATAAAGTTCTCGGATTGCAAACGTGGTAATCAATTTCCTTTTATCCCAGAAGATGTCTTAATTATGAACCCGTCTGAATAGACTAGTGCTTCAGCATTAATTACATATTTAGTTTTTGAAACTAAATTGCTTTATTTAGAGTCTGGAATTTCAATAAATAATAATTATAAAAATAAAAAAGAGTGGTCTAGTGCATCCACCATAAATGTAAAATTTTCTATACGATATGCATACTTAAACTCTTATCCGCATTTCTTGAATTTTGTTTTCCGGTACCGAAGAAAAATTTCCATTCGAAATGGAAAAGCTGTTAAATAATCATCGTAGAGCAGACCCTAAAGACCAATATTTGGCCAAACGGAATATCCGAGTAAGTTATTCTGTAGTTTGTAAATTAGAATTTTATCTAATGTTCAACTGCTTTTTGTCCTAAGCTCAATTCGATCCACTAGTGTAATTTAAATGTTTAAAAAAAAGTTTTATAATAAAATCATTTGAAATATATTATTTATATTATTATTATTTAAAATATATAATATTAGTTACCCAAAAATATACCTAATAATACCTATTAAAAATTTTAAAAGTATTTATCTAAGGCTAGCTTTACAATGACAATAAATTTATGAACTAATTGATGAATTTCTGAATGAAGTTCTTGATTAAACACACTGACTTTACAGTGGCAACAAGTTTCATCAATTGATCCGAAATCTCAAAAAGTCATATAACAGTTGAACCAAGTCGTAGTATTTGGAGATCATTTAGTTTTAGTTAGAAATGTTGTCCGACTCTGTTTTACGGGAAAATAAAAATTGTTGCTGTTTTTCATTAAATTAAATTAAAATCTAAACGTATTAAAATACTGTTTGGCCAAACTTGAAAAATTTACTTACACATATTTAATTATGTTTTTAATTTGATAAAATGTTCCAATAATTATTGAGCTTTGTCCGATAGTTGACTGGTGCCTAATTGCCGAGACACTAACCTTACACCTGGACGTGTTAATTTTTAACACAAACTAACGTTAGTATACTGTGTTTAAGACTATTCAAGTTGACGCACGCGTAAAATGTCAGAGTCAACTTGGCATCCCTGGCGCTTTAAGCGAGATTTTGCAGTTTTGTATTGATAAAACTTTTTCCATAGAACGCTAAAGAGGGCGTGATGGCTGGATTTTCGCTAACCGACGAAGAAAAGTCGAAAATTAGTCAACTTCTCGGAGACATAGGTGCGGTTTATATGTTTTTTTTTTCAATGTAGTTTAGTTGTTTTATTATATTATGTAGACAGCTATGAACTTGCCGATAACCTTGTCAATTCCGAGTGTGACGTGCCCGAAGATCAGACCAATGAAGTAACTGGCAGCGCATTTAAAGTAAACTACAGCGAACAAATGAGAATTGACGAAATTAATAACAAATTAAAAGTGAGATAATGTTTATATTTAATTTCAAACAACTATGATGGTTTGTGATTGTTTTATAGGAATTTGCTTCCACGAGAACAGAAGTGAAAAGTCAGACTGTAAGAAGTGTTGATGAAGTTTGGAGATTGTATGCCAGAGAAAAAGGGCTTAAAGATATCAATGCTCAGCTCGAGAAGTTGTATGAGAGTTTTAAATAAGACGAAGCAAAGCTGTCCAAATAAATACTATTCAAATATCGATCTACTATTATAAACATATCTTTGTTTTCCGGTTACGTTACTTGGATAATGGTACAATTAGATTTAAATAGATTTGAAAGAACTTTTTCACAATATATTTTAAATTTATTTTTAAAATTTAAATATAAAATATCTTTTAAATTTTTATTTAGTATATATTATTAAGCAATTTAGTATTAATAAGTAATTAAAACTGTTACAAATAATGCAAACTGTAGTAGATCTGATCATAATGATGCTCGAGAAAAAAAAATATTTCCGATAAAAAGTTGCAATGAAGAAATGTTTACAAAATCAAAATATACTTTATATTAAAGAAAAAGCAGCAAATTTTTAAAATCTACGATTTTTAAATTTTTCCCCATAGATCAGAAAATGCAGGTGCCATTCTAAATCTGATTATGACGCACACACGTCAAACGCTTGGGACAAGAACAATAGAGTCGCATAGTTCTTGTTTGATATTTCGTTCAAAATAATACCTATCTTCATAGTTTTTAATGCACACTTATATCTTAAGAATATGTGTTATTATGCTGAAAAACTTAACTCGCGAACTTTGGGTGGTTGCTACAACCTGGAGCAATAGGTTACTACTTTGTATCTGCTTATCGGTAGTGGTTTTGGTATTAAAGGGGGGCGCCCCCCGCAGACATCAAAGCACTTAGGCTACCAGATGGGCCCGTTGTGCCCCCAGACGGCGCTAGAGTGCGTCCAGAATGTTGTCCCTCCTATAGAAGGTCAGCGACTCCTTTAACACAATACCGTTCGGATCGATCAGGGCTGTTCCGTAGACTCCAAATCTTGCCATCTCAAATCAGGGCACTCGGTGAGCAGATGATACGGGGTCTCCTCCCCTTCCATGCACCACCTGCACTCCGGATCATCTCCAATGCCTAGCAAGCAAAGATGCCTCCTAAGCCTGCAATGTTCTGTGTAGGCCCCTGTTAGTTCTGGTCAGTCCAAGCAGCTCCCTGATCCGAGGGAGGGCGGGCCCATCCATCATAAGCCTCGCCTGCCTCATTCCCGGAGAAACCCACCACCGCCCGTTCTCTCACCCAGGCTTTCGAGAGCTCCCTGCCTCACGCACGGGGCGATCCCCAAGCGGGGCTCTGGTCCCATATGCCTGTACGAGGAGCCCTCCTTGGCGAAGGCATCCGCTACCTCATTGCCCCGGATCCCGGTGTGACCCGGGACCCAGACCAACGTGACATTCCTCGCCTCGGCACTTTCCTCGGTACCACTTTGCACTCATTTATCAACAAGGAGCGTGTGCGCACTGACTTTAGGGCGATAAGTGCATCCCTACCATCCGAGCAGAAGAATACCCTCCTGCTTCCGTGGTTGAGCCGAAGCACCTCTCTGGCCGCCATCAATATAGCAAAAATTTCCACCTGAAATACGGTGCAGTACTGGCCCAGAGCGATCCCGTTGTCTCGCAGTACTCTCCAGCTCCGGCCAAATCTCCAATTCTGGATCCGTCCGTGTACCAGACAAGTCCATCCCAGGATCCAAATCTGCCCTCTCTCCACTCTTCCCTTAATGGGAAGAGAAAGTTCCATTTGTCAAAGAAGATCATCTCAGGGCTCATGACGTCACTCGGCATGTCTATGACACAGACACACTAAAATGTCGTACGGGCCCCGCTTGAAGGTTCTCTCTCTCTCCAGAGTCAGAAGCTCGCTTGCCTGACAGCCGTCCTGGCCGCCTCCATCCGCAGCCGATCCGCCAGAGAGGGCAGACCCACCAGAGTCTCTAGGGCCATCGTGGGTGCCGTCCTCGTAGCGCCCGTTATGCAGAGGAATGCAAATCTCTCAAGTTTATTAAGAACTAGCTTTGCTCCTGCGCTTTTGGTCCCGGCCACCATGCCACTGCCCCATGCGCGAGCATAGGCACCGCCATGGTACCGTAGATCCAATGCATGATGTTTGACCCCAGGCCTCAAGTGTCCCCTAGCACTCTCCGGCACTCCCACAGAGCTCCAAATGCCGACCTGGTCCTTGATCTTATGTGTTCCTGGAAGGTCAACTTGGAGTCCAACCATACCACACAGTACTTGACACTTCCGCTTGCAGAAAGAGTCACCCCATCCATCGAAATGTTGAAGTTACGCTCCACCTTCCAAGATGACCATCTCCACCTTTCCAGGATTGACAGTTAACTTGCTGTCCCGGCATTATTGTGAGAATCTTGCCAATGCATCCTTCCCACGTCCGTCACCTGTGTCATTATCACAAGGTCGTCTGCATATGCCTAAGCATAAATCCCGTGTTCTTCCGTCAGAAGATACAATATCTCGTTCTCCACTAGGCACCACAGGAAGGGGGACAAGACCCCTCCTTGTGGACACTCCTGTGATGAGCCGATGGAGACCTGCTCCCCATCCAGTCTTGCCTCAACCCTCCGGTCGGTTAGCATGGAGCGGATCAATTTTATAATGACCGTCCCCACTCCAGTACGCTGCCTCGCCCTGCAGATCGAGTACAGGGCCGTATTATTGAAGGCCCCTTCGATGTCAGCGAACACGCACACCGACAGCCGTGAAGAGCCGAGCCCACAGACCCGCCGTTTCGGTACGCATGCTGGATTGGCTCTAAAGGGGCTTCCAGCTCCGCCCAGTCCGTCAGATATCGGTCCACAAGTCTCTCCAGAGTTTTCATAATGAAGCTGGTGAGGCCAACAGTTCCATCAGCGGGCTAATCAGGAGACCTCCGTTCCTTTGGAGCAGAACCGGAAATACTCTATGCCCGCCCGCGGATTTGAAGGGGCCAAAGCTGTCAATAGCCCACCTCAGCCTACTATGGGTAACCAACCACCCTCCTTGCCGTGGCATAGTCCCCCTTTTCCCTGTGTCCGGTGCGGCGGATCCTGGAAAGTGTTTGGTCAGCAACTGTTGTAGTGAGTCCGCTGGTCTTGCTGTGTAGCCACCGCCGGTCCTGCGGACCACTCCCAGTCTTCCCGCCGAGTACCCTAAGGAGCCTAGCCGCGTCCGAGGTATTCATTACTCCATCGCAGTAGCCCCTCCAGGCCCTTCTTTGTGATGCCCGTAGTTTTTCTTTGTACTGTTTATAGAGATCCCAGTCCGCACCTAAGTCGCTGCTCTTCGCTGTATTGAACAGCGTCTGCACCCTCCTCCTGAAACGCTCCAGGAAAGAGCTCCACCAAGAAGTCCTCCCTGCCCTATTTTCCTCCAGTCCCATGGTTAGTATGCAGGCTCTGGGATCGCCCCCTGAGGATTCGACACCATGCAGCGTCGACAGTTCCAGAGATAAGCCCCTAACCCTTGATTTTACAATCCAGGACTCTTGAATCAGTACAATGGTTGTACCGCCCTCCTAAATTTTCCTACATAAGTCAGCCGTTGCAACCCTGCTGTGTTGCAGGTTAATTTGTAGTATCCAAGTGAAGGTGTTGTTTCGGGAGTACCATGTGAGGGTCTCGATGCTACTTTCAACCCGAATCCGAGCCAGAGGTAGCACCTCCTTCCGCTTCCGCGTTCTGTCTGGTAGACCCTGATGAGATACCCCTGTCCACCTCCATCTGAGATTCCTCCTCGATTCTCTCTTTCTCGGAGGGCCCTCTGGAGGTCTCCTCCATAGAAACCGCGAGCGCTTATTCCACGACAGGCCCATCAATCTCCATGGACGAGCCCTCTTCGTGTGAGCCCTCCGCGGCTACCTGCATCCTTGGCGCCGCCAGGTTCACTTTAACCTGGGTCGTCAGGCAGAAGAGAAGTGAGCCCTTAGCCGTGATGGCGTTTGCCGATTTGTCGTCCACGCCCACCACCAACTTTGTGCCCCTTGCGTCCTCCATCCTCTGCCAGACCCTCCAGGCACGGCAATCTAGGCGATTCTGAGTTGCCAGGCAGTGGACTAGTGCCTCGTTCGAGACACCCACTCCCAGGCCCGGAATCCAGATCACCGCCCTTCTAAGCCTCAATCGTTCTGGATTGACTTACACCAGATTTACGTTTATCAGCTCCCTACGAAGCCACTCTCTGGTTTCCTCATCTATCATCTCTATCAGGAAGTGGCTCCTCCTCAGCCTAACCGAGCGTATCCGGGGATGGAGGTTGTTTTGCCCCCCTGCATGATATACATGCTTAAGTAGAGGTTAAGAGACCCTATGAGCAGTAGGTCCTCGGAATACAGGTCAGTTCAGATCCCCCCGCCACCGCTTGCGCTTAGGACCGAACCCCCCTGTCAGGGCCCCCCCGGGACGGCCTGCCTTTCCCGTGCCCAGCTTTTGCCCGGCCGGGAGTAGGCCGCCGACCCCCGGCAGGTGCATCGACCTGGGTGGTCTCTCCCATCTTTTTCTTCCGCTACCCGCCTGCCGTTTTCGGTGTGCCCTCTATGGATCCCTCCGTTGACGGCGTGGCAGGATTCCTGGGGGCCGGAGGAGAGCCCGTCCGCGGTTCCGGAACCATCACTGCAAGTCTCTTCCTCTTCGCCCTCCTTTTTGCTGGGGCGGTGTGTTGACGAGGTGGTATTCTCGGTTTGTACCGAGTCCTCCACCCCGTTCGCTTCTTGGGGACCCTTAGATCGCCCTTGTAGGGGACCTTCCTGAGAACATCCCTACTTGCTGGAGCCCTCCTGGGGCTCCTTCTCCCCGGTGCCTCGGGGTGGGGATAGGTAGAGACTGATCTTCTATCTAGCCATACATTCCCTAGGCTCGACCCCCCACCGTAGAATTTAAGATTTTTATTGAAGCTTACTCCTCTTGGTCCAAGTGGTTAAGCTCAGACCCTCCGCGTCGCGTGCCCAGCCGTCGAGTCGACACCCGATATATATATATATATATATATATATATATATATATATATATATATATATATATATATATATATATATATATATATATATATATATATATATATATATATATATATATATATATATATATATATATATATATATATATATATATATATATATATATATATATATATATATATATATATATATATA